TAGGTATGTTTTGGTGGATTATGTCAGAGTCTGCGTTTTGCTGTCTGTTCATTACACATAACTTTGTTACTCCATAACCAGTCGAGTGCGGGATCTGAGGCTGTGATAATGTGCTGCCTGGTCAAGGCTGTCCAGCGGTGACATGTGAATATGATACAATGGTAGAATGTTTATTGGGAGGGGGGGTAAATTGAAGAAATAAAAAAAAACTCCGTGTCCTGTAGTCCGCAAGCGAACTATACCGACCCAGCGACCGCCGCTTGTCGGCGAAGTTAGTACCAACTTTTGCGGATAGAGGGTATCACATGGTCAGCGCAACTGATACCCACTGCCGTTAATCGCGGTTTTCTAGACCGGAGCCGCTATTTCCATGAAATAGCTCCTCAGTTATCCTCACGAGGCAGAGTGGACCCCGTTTCCAGACCCACTACATCAGAAAATCTGGTAGCTCCGGGAATCGAACCCGCGACCTCTGGATCTGTAGCCGGAACTCTGACCACTAAACCACAGAGGCGGTACGAGTAAACACTGTTCCGATGACACTTCGTCCACTACGAACCTCGCATGAAATGACCCGTGATTGAATGAGTGAGTCTGTTGTAGCAAACCAGCGTCTGGTTACCTAAGCTTCGCGCCGCCTTATTTCTATACAAAGGCCGTTTCTTGTGTGTTTTATTTGGCATTTATATCCAGAAACGGCCGTGCCATAGCTAAAGCGGTTAGTCGCTGGCTTCCCACCGCGGCGGGCCGGGGTCGATCCCCGGGGCTGGTCAAGTGGGGTTTGTGGTGGGCAAAGTGGCGCTGGGGCAGGTTTTCTCCGAGTACTTCGGTTTCCCCTGCCAATCTTCATTCCACCAATTGCTCCACAATCACCCTCACCTATCATCTGGGGCTGGTACAATAGGCCAGAAGTGGCCGCAGTACAAGGGACTTAGTCCCACCCCACTAGCAATAAAAAAGATATATATCCAGAAACACAGGAAGAAATAGAATTATTATTGAATTTACGACGGTTTTTATTGCACAGCTGTCATCTGGAAATAATTATAATGAGGCAGGCATGACGATCTGTTATGACACACGTAAAAGCTGAAATATTTTCGATAAAAGATATTGTTGCTCTAAAACTTTGTTAGTGGGGCTTGACATTTAGGTTTTTAAATGTCAAGTTATTTTAATAAGGCCCCCTGAATGTTATTGCCGAACGGACGCAGCACCTGTTGGTGGAAATGGTGAGCGATATGAGGCGGTGAGAGGGGGCGGGAGGATTCTGCACGATTCTTCTAATAAATTTGCGCTTCCCCGTACACGTAGTGAATACGTGTCCAGGAATTTATATAACTGCGTTTATTGTGTTGCCCACACCCACCTTTCACTCTGGTCAGATGCGATAAATTTTGTTACACATTTTAAACCTACACAGTTTATTTTTTTTTTCTGTTATACGAAAAGGCAGAGTTTATTTGCTTTTTCGTTGTTCGTGATAGGCTATGTGGTTACATATTTGCAGAGACCAGTCCCCCCCCCCCCACATTCTTCATTCTATAAATCGTTCCTACACAAAATTCCATGTAAATATCTGTCCAGTTGGTCACATTTTCCTTCAGGTGAATTTCGTGACCTTGAGGTTCCAAATTCTGTCAAATTTACCCCCCTTTAAAGGCGCATTTCACATAGGCTTTGATTCTTTTCCGCAATTCGTGTGGTAAGCTCTGAGATTTTTTTTTTAGCTACAGCCCCTATTTGGGCCTTGGCCTACTTCCATGAAACTCGCCGTTTCACTTCGGTTTACTAGGACTTACGCTGGAGCCATACGAGCGCACAGAATGCATCCGTTGTAACGAACGACGTGACGTCCGTTGTAGAAATAAACAAGAGAGGCGAATGCTACGCTTTCTTCTGCTTCCATTGCAGACACAGAACTACGCACCACATTCTGCAACTGTGTGGTGTCCTCAGCAACGTCCGTCATAAAGAACGTTCGTTGCTACGGACGCATTTTGTGCGCTCGTGTGGCCCCAGCCTTAGACATTCGGTAGAACTCGTTAGGGCGGGTGATCAGCTCGTCGCAAGGCCTCTCTACCTGTATACAAACACAGAACAGCGCACATGCACACAAACATTGAACAACCCTCAGTGGGATTCGAACCCACGATCCCGGCTTCGGAGCGAGCGAAGACAGTGCATACCTTATACCGCTCGGCTACTGTCACCGGCAGTGTATAAGAATAATATATAAGTATTCAGTTCGTACATCACAGGAAATAGATCCGAACCCACGATCCCGGCTTCGGAGCGAGCGAGCGAAGACAGTGCATGCCTTAGACCGCTCGGCTACCGTTATCGGCAGCGCTGAGAACACAAATTTAAATTAACCCTTTGTAATAGAGTGTTTGCTACCTATACCTCATACTCCACCGTTGGAAACCCATCCATTTTGGCCACGCAATGTATCTGTTTATTTTCTTATAATTCTAAAAATAATCAGCGATTATTTTTGCGTAACAAGCTTTAACCCATTCATCGACGTAGAGGAACGTATTCTCTGCGGTATAATTTGAATATAGCCGCCTCTGTGGTCTAGTGGTCAGAGTTCCTGGCTGCAGATACAGACGTCCGGGTTCGATTCCCGGCGCTACCAGATTTTCTTAGAAGTAGTGGGTCTCTAACGGGGTCCACTCAGCTTCGTGAAATTGAGGAGCTACTTAAATGGAAAAGTAGCGGCTCCGGTCTAGAAAGCTGAAATTAACGGCCTTGGGGATTCGTTGCGCTGACCACGTGACACCGACTATCCGCTAAAGTTGGCACTGACTTCACCGGTCGCTCGGTCGGTATAGTTCGCTTGCGGAATAAAAACGCCACAGTTTTTGTTTTATTTTTTTGTTTATAATTTGAATATTTTTAAGCTCTTCAGATGAGTTACGGACATCAGAATTCGTCCTCAGTGGAGCCTTTCTGCGTTAATAAGAATTTTCCGTTTGAATGCACAGTAAAGACCCTGCTCCGCTACTTTATGCTGCTCGTAACCACCGCTCTACCTTTTCTTCCCAACGCTCTACCTTCTCTCGAGCCTGCCTTTACCATGGAGATGATCGGGCAGTGCTTGGAACCTTCATACCGGGAAAACTTTCCTGTGAGAGAGCCCCACGTGTCACATTTAATACAGCAGCTATGAACTCATTGCATTAATCGTTTCCCCTGTGTTTGAGCATTACGCTTAGAAGATATTGATTAAATGTAGAGGTAAAATGTGTGTTTTTATGACAGCAGCAGACATATATGAGTGGTTCACGTTCCGTCCGTCATATCCCAGGGTGAAGAACTCCCGCAATTTACATATCTACTAGGCCGCGCCATAGCTCAAGCGGTTAGTCGCTGGCTTCCGACCGCGGCGGCCCGGGTTCGATCCCGGGGTCTGGTCAAGTGGGATTTGTGGTGGACACAGTGGCGCTGGGGCAGGTTTTCTCCCAGTACTTCGGTTTCCCCTGCCAATCTTCATTCCACGAATTGCTCCACAATCACCCTCACCTATCACCTGGGGCTGGTACAATAGGCCAGAAGTGGCCGCAGTACGAGGGACTTAGTCCCACCTCACTAGCAATAAAAATACTTATGTATTACCTCCGTCTCTACAGTGCCACCTTCGCGTTCCGTCCTCTCTGTAGTTATGTCATTATGTAGCTGTTTCGCTTGAATGTTTTCAGTGCAGGAGTTCGTACGAACGCAGTGTGATGATGTAAGATAAGAGGCACTGTTGCCCCTAGTTCATATTATGCCTTGTATAAAGCGAAACGCCACTTTCTTAGAACGTACTGCTTCATCCATCATGTGTTTTGTTTATTTTTCTATCCTGTTCGATGACTAATACACATAATTGTTATTGTGTGCTATATTCTACAAGAAATGGAGATAACCCCCCAAGAACAACGAGGTCATGCTTGTTATATTTTCTGTTCCACGCAAATGCACTTGCTGCTGTCTGTTGGTTTGGTGTCAGGCGTTCACAGATGTATTAATGATCCCCCCCCCACGTCATATCCGTCCTTATCTGTTCTTCTGTACACTGGAAAATATTATTTATGAGACCTGTCTAATGCGAAAAACATTACAGAAATAATCAGATGCAAGCCGACCTTAAGACCGACTCCAGGGGTGTAAAACATCGAGGATACCACATTTTCTATACAATCGGCTCACAGATGGCGGTAAGTTCGTCGGTCATACGCGCCGGCCGCACCTAAACCCCCCAGGAAGATTCCTGGTACTCATTTCTGTTAGAGACTGAGCCGACTGTGCTTGAAAGGATTAGGTAAATTGAAAAAAAAAAGTGACCTCATCGGGAGTAGAACCCGCGTCCTGGTAAAGTTAATGGGTAGAACATGTATTTAATGAGCTCAGTAAAAGGAACGCGTGATGAAAGGAACCCCCCGGACTGTGCATCAAAGCAGCTACTGCCATCACAAGTAAGTTAATTAGCTCGCCCTTAAACACTCAGTTTTGTGTTACCCCAGCAACGACTTGTTATGAGAGGAAGTTGTGTGATAGGTCACGATCTAGTGAGCCGTTTGTTTAGCATATCGTTTGTGTCTTTTAAGTATTAACAATATTTTTGTGTGGATATGCAAAATGTAGTGTACTTATAAAGGAGATAGTTCGCGATGCACTATTTGTGCGTGTTATTCGTGGGAAGTGGCGCTGAACGTCGGCCTTGACGTATCATTCAGTAACATGGATGGATGGAAAACAATACGGGAGGATAAAACGGAAATTAACAGTAATAGAGCTTATGTGAATAAGACATCACGTTGAATTCTCAACTGGTATTACATTGGTTCGCAGTATAAGGTACCGACGTTCAAGAAAGCAAACTAGTGTGACGTTAACGCGGTGATTCATCGCTGGGCTGATTTTATCTTACCCAGCGATGACTTAGTTTTTGGAAGTACTCAGAAGGTTCTTTTAGAACGTCGGTGATCTCATGGTTTAATGTTCTTCTGCAGGTGGCCACGAGACCTTGGACAATGCCTCCGTCAGACTCAACAGTGACTTCACGTGACCTCACCAAGCTGTGTAACCACAAGAGGAAATTACTCGCAATGGCTACCTTGGCGGCTGGTCCTGGGTTCAATTCCCAACAGCAGCAAACGCACGGGACACAGGGTTCAGGAGACACGCAACTTGCGAAGACAAAGAAAGGTGAGTGTTGGCTTTTCATGTTTTTTGTAGTCATTGACCACGAGGTATGTTAGTACTGTTGATATTCATGTACGTATAAGCGGGTGTTTGCAAATCTGTGCTTTCTCACGTCATAATGGGTCGATGTTCCGTCTGCGTGGGACAGTAAACATCCAGTAAGGTACGCAGGATTTGAATAGTTCTACCTTCTGGGATGTAAAGGTTAAAAAGTTACAGTTGTTCCTATGCATAACTAATTAAGCACTACGCCACGAAGGGGGGTGGATGTATAGATCCATATTTTCTTGACCTCGTCACTATCTGGAGGTGCGTGGTCAGCTTCACGCCCCGGCCGCTTTATCCCCGGTACCGAGTGGATAGGAGGCTGGATGGACCCCAGAGCCGGTGTGGACGAAGTGGAGAAGTGAAAATTCTTACCCTCACCGGGACTCGAACTCCGATCCCTCCAGCCCGTAGCCAGTCGCTATACCGACTGCGCTGTCCCGGTAACGGAAGTATATTTGTTTGGATATGCGATTGTAAAAATGTGACGGATTTCTGTAGGTATGTCTGCCCGTGTTAGAAATGGTTTTATTATGTTATTATTATTATTATTATTATTATTATTATTATTATTATTATTATTATTATTATATGTTTTGGACCCAAGAGTACGTTGAATTGTAGCAGCTGAATTTTGTATTTTGACTTAAAGTGAGTTCAGGAGAGAAAGCATTATTACCAGCTGTTTAGGGAGATGTCGACGGGCCGGATATGTATCTCGAGCCATGGAATAAATATATACGCTATGTCTAATCTATACAGAATGATGCTGACAGAAGAGACGGGCGTGCGGGCTTGCTGTAGGTTGGATTGCGCATTCCATCTCGCCCTGTTCCCCACTTTCTGTGTGTTCTCCGTCCCTGTTCTTCCTCCTGTTCTCTTTCGATAAATGAGAATCGACCAGACTAGCTGGTATATCGTATGACCTACTTAAAGGTATCTCTTTTTACACTGTTTTTCCCCCCTCTGTGTCGTCTGCAGGAATGGAAGATTTTCGCACCTGCGCATTGACACTTTTCTTAAGGCGCGTCCACATTACTCGCGCTCGTGTGATTCGCTGTGCTCGCGAGTAATGTGGACGATATGACAAGTCACAAGACAAGCAAATTTAAAATTTTTAATTTAAGAACTCTAACCAGAAAATTAAAATACGACTACAGCCTATACACACTACGAGTAAATATACGGATCCTCACGCGCCGAAGCCTGGCGAGCAACTGAAGTAGTGTGGACGAAGATTTACGAGCACAAGTAAAAGCCAGACGAGTCTCCCGACGAGCACGAGTAATATGGACTCGCCTTTAGAATTGTACATCCCACTAAACTTAAGTAACCGTACATGCTTTAGTACTCGCATCACGTGACATTCCGTGATTACTGGCTCTCTCTCGGTTTCACAAATGGAGAACAAACTCTAATAATGTCTAGAACAATTGTGGGGTCTCGCTGCTGCTGGTTGCTTTCCGTGCCGGGAGGAAGGAACAAGCATATTCATAACCATTTAATGCGAACGTTGGGAATGCTGCACGGGAGCTGGTTATCTTGGCGGTAACGGTTTAAACTCATGTTCGGGATGTGCTCGGTTCGAATCTCGGTTCATTTACCGCCATGTCCTGACTGAAGTTCTTAGTGGTTTTCTCCACTCACTCCAGTCGAATACATCACCGCCGTTTCTTACCAAATATTTTGTAATCGATCGTTCATCAATCTTCCTGCCTATCTTTATATATATATGCGGTAGAGTAGTTGATTGAGGCATTATGCTACAAACCGGAGGTCGCGGGTTCGAGTCCCGATGAGGTCACTGAATTTTTAAACTCACCTAATTATTCCAGCCGCACTATGGCCCTGGGGTCGACTCAGCCTCTAACAGAAATGAGTACCAGGAATCTCCCTGGGGGTAAAGCGCTGCCGGCGCATAAGGCTGACAACCTCACTGCCATCTGTGAGCCCAGTATCTAGAAAATGTGAGAGCCTCGACGTCTCACAACCCTGTGGGCCTCCACGGCCTGCTACATGGATAGATTTACTCACAGCGTCATAAATCAATCCACACACGCACAAAAGAGAAGCTACTTGTGAATTTAACTCCATTCTTCCCACACACATCTGCTTAAACTGGTCCCAATGTAGCAAGTGTAGGGATAGCTACAGACTGGACGGCATAGTTTCGATTCTCAGCAGAGGCAAAAACTGCTCTCTTCTCCACTCTGGAGCCCACCCAGCCTCATATCCAATGGCTACCGTGGCCTCTGTCTCTGAGGTAGAGTAGCCTGGACGTGAACCCGACCATTGACCTCCGCCTAGTGCCGAGGTTAAGACTGGTAGAGCTATACCTCCACTTTCCCCATAGTGCTTAAATAATTAAGCAGAGGGGCAGCTTTACCTTCTACCTTACCAGTCTCAGTTCAGTCCGTGAGCCCCAGAGAACAATCGGTTGGCCCCAATGCCTATCTTGGTTTAGGGCTCCCGTAAATGAAATACCGTATTTACGCATGTATAGGCCGCACATTTTTTGCCAAAAATTCAAGAGGAAAACTGGGGTGCGGCTTATATTCGAAATATTCGAAATCACACTTCATTTAAAAAATTATATTCATAATTAGTAATACAGGGTGTAATACTCCTGAAATAATATTCCAGGAAAATTATTTATTCTATAATTTCTGTCTGAAAATTGTGCTGCGGCCACGGTAATATGATAGACCTCTACAGTCTTTGTGTATTCGAGTCGAAAACTCACGTAAGGTGTCACGTGAAGGCTGCAGGCTGAGTGACCCAGGAACCGTAGTTCGATTCCCGGCAGGAATTTTATACTGTTTTGTAGACAACAGCGTCCAGCCCACCCAGTGTCATGTTTAACGGGTACTGACAGCGGTTCCTTCGGGGATAAAAGCAGCTGGGGCATGAAGCTGGCCTCTAACCTCCATCCGGTGCTGAGGTTACGATTGTTGGAGCTGTACCTATATTCCTTGTTCATATTCTTGTAGTGGTGCTTAATGGAGTACAGGGAGAACCTTACCTAATGTGAAAGAGAGTTGTGACCGTTTTTGTGATGTGAGTATGTTATAGAACGGGTTAGGCGAATCATGCAGCGGTTTAACCTCTAGAAACAATTGTCACTTCATCGTTTTGGGAACGTACTCCGTCTGTAGTTCGAACCTAGGTTTTTTTTTTCCTTCTCACTACAGCCCCAGTGGGCCTAGGCCTACCTCCATGAACTTCTCCGTTCACTTCGGTTTTGTTGATCTTACACATTCGGTAGGTCTCCTTGGGCGGGTGATCAGCTCGTCGCAAGGCCTGTACCTGTACACAAACACAGAAAAACGCACACACACAAACTAAACATCCATGCCCCGGGTGGGATTCGAACTCACGATCCCGGCTTCCAAGGAAGCGAAGACAGTGCATGCCTTAGACTGCTCAGCTACCGTGACCTGCCGAACCTAGGTTTAGTCTGTGGAATTCGGAATGGTTACCGAGCGAGGAAGTGTTCTTGCGAAATGGCACACGAACTTGTTTTGTGAACTGGTGAGGCAGCTCAAGTTCCCGCGCTTGTACGGATCAGGGGGCTTTGTGTTCCCGCGAATTCAGTTTTTATTTTCCTCTCCCTCTCCAGCGAGTAAATTTTGTTTGTAGTTCACACAACACAGCGTTAAGTCCCGGTTTTTGTTGAATTCGGATTCAACGTTTTCGTCAGAATTTTGTATGTTTTTATAGTTATTTTGAGAAGTACTCTTCTCTATTTTTTATCATTATTAAAACCATGGCAAGACAAGCAAGTTGTGTTTAATTCCTTTAGGAATATTCTCTTTTTTGTGCGGTTTGAAGTTATGATTGCATGCGTGCATGGCATCACTTATTTTGTCGCTGTGTCCCTTTGCTGTGTATTTGAAGTCCACTCATGGTTTGGAGTGCATAAGGCCTACAGAAAGGAAACCGAATCTGTAATGTGGTAATGTCTTTAACCTAACAGGTAAGGCGTAAAAGGTAAAGGTAAAGCTATCCCTGTAACAGGCCGTGGAGGTCCATAGGGTTGTGAGACGTCGAGGCTCCCACATTTTCTAGACAATTGACTCACAGATGGCGGTGAGATTGTCAGCCTTACGCGCCGGCCGCACTTTACCCCCAGGAAGATTCCTGGTGCTCATTTCTGTTAGAGGCTGAGTGGACCACAGGGCCATAGTGCGGCTGGAAGGATTAGGTCAATTGAGAAATCCAGTGAACTTATCGGGATTCGATCCCGCGACCTTCCGGCTTGTAGCATAGTGCCTCAACCACGATACCGTGTGTTTCGATGATGGAAAATGAATTGAAATTAATAATTTATTATAATTAATTTTGAGTGAAATACGGCTGGGTTATATGTTTCTGTGTATGATTGATTTTTCTGTAATTTTTCTAGGGTGTATAGTTTAAGACGGGTTGCATCCTGCATGTGATTTAACTAATGTTTAAAGAAACTGGGGTGGAAAAGTGTACGCAAGTTTTCCAAATGAATTTTCCCCGAATTTGCGTTACTTTGTTGCATAAAGTTGGGTGTATGCTTCATGCCTCGTTCGGATTATGTTGGAACTATGGATCAAACATGTTTTCGCTCGACAGCTTTTACTGTAGAGATCTGTACCAAATTTAATTCAGATCCATTCAGTAATGTCAGACACATGATTTCAAGATGAATTAATTTTATTTTTTTCGTGTTCTCATAAACTTTTTTCCAGAAATATGCACATTCGAGATACATGGCACAGAAATAGGAACAGACACTCATGTCTCGCCATTTTGAGATTCACGTAACAAGTGACAGTTGTATCAGTTTCGTACATTATTCAAGGACGCCATATTGACTACTTGACCGCCTCTGTGGTCTAGTGGTCAGAGTTCCTGGCTACAGATCCAGAGGTCCGGGTTTGATTCTCGGCGCTACCAGATTTTCTGAGAAAGTAGTGGGTCTGGAA